TGTGTCTGAAATGGAAGATTTACCCCTAAAATAAATGGCAATCTTGATGGGGCGAATGATAAACGAATGGAATTTGAGGTCAATACCCCATTCGTACACAAACCCATTAGATCTTGCTGGTGCTTCTGCAATGCACCTCCGTTCCGGTGACTTTGATACCTGCACAGTTGGTCGCAGGTGAGACAGAAAAAGATCCTTTTTGGTGACCTTCTGCAGCGTGTGGATAAACACCTTGAGCAATTTGACGTGGTGCCTCGACGACTGTGGGTTCGGGGTATGGGATCACTGCAGATTGATGTTGAAAACCGTCTCATTGGAGGCAGACAAGGGAAAACTATTTTTGTATTGTGATTATGTCTAGTCTGTGTAATTGCAGAATAGATTTTATGAGATTGTGTAGTGTGTGTGTAAGAATCCCAGGAAGCACCGATTGATCACCCGTGTGTACCTGTGCCAAAACAGTCTGAAACTGTTGATTTCTGTTCCTGTTCAATGCTGTACCGTGTTTCCATTCACGCAGTTTTGAATTCTGTTGATTTGACCTTTTCGACCTTTTCGACCTCAACTCGGACTTCGAGGAGCACTCCCTTTGGAACCAGCTTCAAGTCTCAAAACCGGTCCAGAGTGTGTGTGTGTGCGTGTGTCCGCCATTTACTCATTTGTATGTGTATATATATATATACTAGACATATGTCAGATATACCATATGTGTATATACAGATGACAATGTAGATGTACGCACACACACACACATGTACACACACATGTACACTCACACACACACACACGTGTGTGTGTGTATATTATTTTAAATAAAATATGATAGTATATGCATACTGCGTGTGTGAGTGTAGGAACGCATCGGGAGGTCCACAACTCCGTCCCTTGACACGCTGGCCTAGAGCCAAAAAAGGTGAAACTTCACAGAACATTCCCCATGTATAGCTCACTATAAAGTGGACATCCTTTGCGCTTATAAAGTGGGTTTCCGGTCGCCACTTTATATACCGACAATGGGGGATAAAGCCGTGTTTTGCGCGAGAAACATGCCCTTGGACCTGGAAGATGACTTTATTAGAACGTTGGCTTTCCAGTTTATACCCGGCTGGTTTCCCACAAGGAAACGACTCAATATATGCGGCAATGCATTTTATAGACCGTTGGTTCCCTTCAAAGAATGGCCATAATATGTCACACCATCCACTTTATAGAAACATGTCTCCCCAATGATTTCGGGCCAATATCTTTCTGTTGGGGCTGTATACATGGCAAAGCACTTTATAGAGTGAAACTTGCCCTTTAAGAAGAAGAATTTGTGCTGCATCCAGGGCACTTTATAGAAAGAAAATTGCGGCAGAGCATTTTATAGAGTCATGAGATACATCATCCAAGTCACTTTATCGAGATGCCCAGGACCCATTCACCCTGAGGACCCCTTTCAAGGGAAATCTTCTTCTCTATAAAGTGGCCAGTCCAGGTAAAACCCCTGAAAAAACAGAATCTATGTTGGACTGGCCACTTTATACCCCATCCCCAAACAGAGAATGCCTCTATAAAGTGGCCAGTCCAGGTAAAACCCCTGAAAAAACAGAATCTATGTTGGACTGGCCACTTTATACCCCCTCCCCCAACAGAGAATGCCTCTATAAAGTGGCCAGTCCAGGTAAAACCCCTGAAAAAACAGAATCTATGTTGGACTGGCCACTTTATACCCCCTCCCCAAACAGAGAATGCCTCTATAAAGTGGCCAGTCCAGGTAAAACCCCTGAAAAAACACATTTTTACCTGGAATGGCCACTTTATACCCCCTCCCCAACAGAGAATGCCTCTATAAAGTGGCCAGTCCAAGTAAAACCCCTGAAAAAACAGAATCTATGTTGGACTGGCCACTTTATACCCCCTCCCCCAACAGAGAATGCCTCTATAAAGTGGCCAGTCCAAGTAAAACCCCTGAAAAAACAAAATCTATGTTGGACTGGCCACTTTATACCCCCTCCCCCAACAGAGAATGCCTCTATAAAGTGGCCAGTCCAAGTAAACCCCCTGAAAAAACACATTTTTACCTGGAATGGCCACTTTATACCCCCTCCCCCAACAGAGAATGCCTCTATAAAGTGGCCAGTCCAGGTAAAACCCCTGAAAAACACATTTTTACTTGGAATGGCCACTTTATACCCCAGCCAGTGTGCTCCAGGACTTTGACCCGGAAACGGAAGGACTGACAACAAGGTAAAGGGGGAAAACTACAACGGAGAGGTACAACGGGAAGGCTACCACAAGAAAATGAGACATGTCACGTTTATATACGTTTATTGTCTTCAATGTGTCATATAGATTGGCGATGATTGGTATATTGAATATGTTGTAGATGTATTTTGGAACATATGTATACCTATGATTCACACATCAATATAAATATATATAAATCATAAACACATGCCAAACCAAAAACTTTTAGCTGAGTATTGTATTCCCAATCTGTTGGCAAATGTCCAGCCGATTTACCATGCAAACAATTTTATAGAGGATGGGCATGGACCGGCCAGTTTATACAGAGGGTGGGGCTGCCAGAAATGACGTGATCAAGCCACTTTATAGAGCTGAACTTTCTTGCAAACCATTTTATAGAGGATGGGCATGTGGCCGTGGTTTTGGTCCATAGATGTCCATAGGTTTTTAGGATGATTTTGGGAGATTGTCGTCATAGATATACGTAGATTCACCCAGCACTTTTTTTCAAAAGTAAACAATCCATAGTTTGAATCTTGTTGGGTCACGCATGGTGAATCGGCTGGACATTTGCCAACAGATTGGGAATACAATACTCAGCTAAAAGTTTTTGGTTTGGCATGTGTTTATGATTTATATATATTTCAGAAAGGGGTGTTGTGAGCGCTAAAAAAACGAAATTTTGGGGATATATAGCCTTGATACTATGGATGGTTTCATGTTTTTTGCGCTCACAACAGCCTGTGTGAGTAGGACGAATCATTTGATAAGCAACCAATGTCTGCTGTTTGCTGTCTAACCCGAGCTACAAAATCCTCCAACCCGAACTGCGCAATCGTCTAACCCGAACTGCAAAATTGTCGTCTTCGCAGTGCTTAGTCCTGCGAAGATTCGCGGATTGACTCGCGACTTCTTGCTTTACAACAAAAAACACGTATTTTAAAAACAGTCTTTTGCATCATCAATGGAATCTAGAGTAGGCTCTTGCTACACTTCCTTACAATAATGTTGCCCACTTTGCAAACAAGAATCTGCACTTTCAAAGGTAAAACACATGTTTCAATGTGTCAGTAAGATGGCACTCTTTTCAAAACCATGCTGTAGTAATTCAAGAATAGATTAGATTCAATCTTGCAAAACAGCATACTACATTTTTCCTACAGGAATGCTATGATTTCTGAATTCAGTACATACATAGGGTTCTCCTTGAAATTGGGAAGTAATGCTACACATCTTTCAAAGAATGCAACAATGCTTGCAAAAGGTTGTTGCATACATGGAGGAATGGTGTTCTTTATGCACAGTCTTTTTACAAGTGATGTTTGCATGTTTATTTTCCTTCATTATTTATAGAGAACATATTGCATAGATTGGTGCCTGCTTAAAATGCACATTTTTTAAATGCTACTTATCTTTCAAACAATGCCACACTTTTTGCAAAGGGACTGTTACATTGAGGAATGGCGTTCTTTATGCAAAATTATTTTACAAGTGCAGTTTGCAAATTTATTTTTCCTTCATTGTTTATATATAGAAAACATATTGCATAAATTGGTACCTGTTTAGAATGCACATGTCCAAAAGAATTACTGCATATGTTGAGGGAAACTCCTGTAGAGATGTAGAGTCTATACATGTTTAAAGCAATGCTGCACTCTTTGGAAAGGCACTTACACTTGTTTGTTTTGTTGTTTTTATCTATTATTCAATTATTCATGTTTGCTTTGGCTGAAACTATGTATCTATGTAGGACATTGGGAGAGCTGTTGAGAATGCACAGTGGTTGTTTTTGTTACAGAAGCAACAATGTTTGGTTCTGGAAAGAACAGGGTTTGGTATCTTTTGCAGAAATGAAATGTCAAAAATGCAAACATTTTGGCGCTCACAACACCCCCCTCCCCAGAAATTTATATTGATGTGTGAATCATAGGTATACATATGTTCCAAAATACATCTACAACATATTCAATATACCAATCATCGCCAATCTATATGACACATTGAAAACAATAAACGTATATAAAACGTGACATGTCTCATTTTCTTGTGGTAGCCTTCCCGTTGTACCTCTCCGTTGTAGTTTTCCCCCTTTACCTTGTTGTCAGTCCTTCCGTTTCCGGGTCAAAGTCCTGGAGCCCACTGGCTGGGGTATAAAGTGGCCATTCCAGGTAAAAATGTGTTTTTTCAGGGGTTTTACCTGGACTGGCCACTTTATAGAGGCATTCTCTGTTGGGGGAGGGGGTATAAAGTGGCCAGTCCAACATAGATTCTGTTTTTTCAGGGGTTTTACCTGGACTGGCCACTTTATAGAGGCATTCTCTGTTGGGGGAGGGGGTATAAAGTGGCCAGTCCAACATAGATTCTGTTTTTTCAGGGGTTTTACCTGGACTGGCCACTTTATAGAGGCATTCTCTGTTGGGGGAGGGGTATAAAGTGGCCAGTCCAACATAGATTCTGTTTTTTCAGGGGTTTTACCTGGACTGGCCACTTTATAGAGGCATTCTCTGTTGGGGGAGGGGGTATAAAGTGGCCAGTCCAACATAGATTTTGTTTTACCATAGATTCTGTTAACGACTTCGATATAGATATTTGTCTGGCTGTCGGTTTCGTTCGGTTTCGAAGTCATTCGAAGTCTTTTGGGTTTCCCATCGATGAGATCGATGATATTCCCCCAAGGTTTGAACGTGGCCCCTCAACTTTATAGACAATCACGTCGATGCTGCCATCGTCGCGATTAAGAAAATCATCGCTACTACAACGATCGTTGTTTAGCCGGAAATCCACATTATAGTGCCACTGTTCTGCACAAGTATTACTATCTGGATGTTCGGCATCTCACTTTATAGTCATGGGACATGTTCACAAGTACCCTCAAAAACCTGCATCGAGTTTTATGTTTTTACGCGGCCAGGCGACTTTATACAAACGTTGGATTTTGACTTTATAGACAAAATATGTTGACTTTCCACTTTATACTCCAGACATGTGGCCATTCCAGTTTATACCAGGCTATTCTCTATAAAGTCGGCCGCAAAGCATCTAGCGGGCTATACATGGGGGATCACAGAACTAGTTTGAACCTGACATACTAACATTGAGCATGAAGTTACGAAGTTACACGTAGATACGTATAGCTGGAGATACTATACCGACCTCACTACGACTTTACTAGACAATGATGGCTTGCAGGGGAAATGACCTCATTTTAAGCTTGTTTCACAACTGTTTTGATGTATAGGGGAAATCAGCGGATACCTTAAAATTCGTGGAATAACTATACACATCATGAGTGAATTATGATTCTTGAGATCTGTTCAAAAAATACGTGGATCCATAATATATCATTCATCCATCATTTTGCATTGAATCTCGCACTTTGAGGAGACATTGAGCGAGCTTATCCATCACCAACAATCGGTCTCCACTCCGGTGGCCTCCGTTCGCTTGGCTGCTATGAGCCCCTGCAGACCCTTGGCGGCCATGGCTTGGATTCATAGTATCATTGGTATCTGAATAAAAGTGAATCATTAATCAGGTTTATAAATACTATTGTACAGTGTGAATAATAACAGTTCATAACCTTTTATATCAATTTGTAGCCATTAGTTCATGATAGTTGTTAATTTCTTTTTGGTACCATGATCAGGGATTCGACTAGCATCAGGTCTCTAGCCTCTGCTCGAACAGACCCAAACAGGAGGCCGATGGTTTTGAAATTGGATACCAAAGATCAATTCCCTATGAGAAATGGCTCAAAGGTTCATTTGCTGTGACTCTCTAAGTTTGTGTCTTGAAGCTGCCTTCAGGTTTCGTGTTCAACCCCTTTGAGATTATCCCACTTGACCAATATTTGCGGGTGAAAGTGCCCTCCCCATGTCCGTTTCCCTGTTTTTCATTGGCTTTTCTAAAAGCGAATGAGTTTTCTCAGGAAGAGGTTTGTTCTGGCACGAATTCATGTCATGAAAGAAGTATGGGGATTAAAAACAATATATCTTTCAGATTTCGGATGGACTGATCAACAAAGGACCCAAATCGTTGAATCTGTGGATACTGCAGCCTGGAGCCGACATTTGAAGTACCAACTGGTTATTTAAGGGCCTACGCCTGACAGCCGGCGGCTGTAGGAAGCATGCTGCGCTCATATTGAGGCTATGTTGGCGCCTTCTGAAACCTATAGAAGATGATGATTTTAGTTACTTTTTCCTCCTGCTGATGCTCCCGGATGGGAAAACACAATGGCAGTGAAGGACGGAGAAGCATCAAAATTGCGTCTAAAAACTCCCTAGCGTAACTTCTGAAACCCATAGAAAATGATGCTTTTAGCCACTGTTTCCTGCTGCTACTGCTGCTGCTGCTATTGCTGCTGCTGCTCAAAATACACCTTCCGGATGAGAAAACACCATGGCAGTGAAGGACAGAGAAGCATCAAAATTGCACCCAAAAGACACCTCCCGGATGTGAAAACACCATGGCACTAAAGGACGGAGAAGCATCAAAATTGCACCCAAAAAGGGCCTAACGTAACTTCTGAAACCTAAAACAAAGATGGTTTTAGACACCTTTTTCTCCTGCTACTGCTGCTGCTCTTGCTCCTGCTGCTGCTGCTCCTGCTGCTGCTGCTACTGCTGCTAGTCAAAAGATACCCCCTGAATGGGAAAACACCATGGCAGTGAAGGATGGAGAAGCATCAAAATTGGACCCAAAAAGGGCCTAACGTAACTTCTGAAACCTAAAGAAAAGGACGGTTTTAGCCACCTCTTTCTCCTGCTACTGCTGCTGCTACTGCTGCTAGTCAAAAAATACCCCCTGAATGGGAAAACACCATGGCAGTGAAGGACGGAGAAGCATCAAAATTGGACCCAAAAAGGGCCTAACGTAACTTCTGAAACTTAAAGAAAAGGACGGTTTTAGCCACCTTTTTCTCCTGCTACTGCTGCTGCTCTTGCGCCTGCTGCTGCTGCTACTGCTGCTAGTCAACAGATACCCCCTGAATGGGAAAACACAGTGGCAGTGAAGGACGGAGAAGCATCAAAATTGCACCCGAAAAATCCCTAACGTAACTTCTGAAACCCATAGAAAATGATGATTTTAGCAATTTTTTCCTTCCGCATAGGAATACAAAATGGCAGTGAAACACTATTTTTTCCTCCTGCTATCGCTGCTGCTACTGCTCAAAAAACACCTCCCGGATAGGAAAACACCATGGCAAGCAAACACGGAGAAGCATCAAAATTGCATCAAAAAGTGCCTAACGTAACTTCGGAAACCTATAGAAAATGATGATTTTAGCTACTTTTTCCTGCTGCTGCTGCTCCTGTTGCTCCTGTAGTAGGAGGTGGTAGTAGTAGTAGTAGTAGCAGCAGCAGTAGTAGTAGCAGCAGCAGTAGTAGCAGCAGTAGTAGTCGTAGTAGAAGTAGTAGTAGTAGTAGTGGTGGTAGTAGCAGTAGTAGTAGCAGTAGCAGCAGTAGTAGCAGTAGTAGTAGTAATAGTAGTAGTAGTGGTTTTTCTTCCCTGACGCGCTCCCAGCCGGGGTCGGCGGATTTCTCAAGGAGCTTCGACACATACCTGCGGATGAAATGGTATATTCTTACACATTCTTACCATGTAAATGTGTATTTCTTAAGCTGAAGACCTCCTTGGCATTCCATAAAAGTCATGAAATGTGGCAAAGAATGCGGCCTGCAATGCCTGGTCGGGTTAGTGGCCGCAATAGCATGAATAACAATAATGGCGCAGGGCAAAAGCAAAGAGACTCACCGACAAGGCTAGATATCGAGACACCCAGAAACCACATGAAATCACTTTTCCATAGCAGATGGAGATATTGACTCTGCTCCTCCCCGAGTTTCTTCGAGTTTCTGCCCGACCTTAGGCTTCAGCAACAACGGTGTACAATCATTGACCATGAGTGGCATCTTCCGCCAGGAGCCCGGGTGGGAGGTTAGGACGGTGAGGAATTCGAGGGTCGGAGATCATGGAGTCATGTTCCGATGGGATCCGATAGATACCATAATTGTGTTGATTGTTTGAATTTGGGCGTGGATGGCCCCAAACCTGCAGGATTTGGAGGAATTTGAATCAGTTCAAACGGGAAGCTACCACAAAAGTTGGATTCAAAGTCGACAGTTCAACAACTTTTCGCAAGTTGCAACGCCGTGCTTCAATTGTCTCATTCATTTTTCAAGATCTTCAAACCACTTGGAGGGTCAACAATGAAACTTCTTCCATTTTGTAAGGGTGAACATGGGCGCAGTTTCTAAGGTTTTGTTATGGTTTATTCAAACAGTTCAAACATAGGATACCCCCCGAATCCACTGGCGTATGCCATCAGGAGCTGGACTCAATGGAGGAAATAGCTGATGAGGCGCCACGTGATGGGTTTCAAACACCTCCAAATAGGTTTTGCAAAAAAAACAGCTGAGAATTTGAGTGTTGGATTCTCGATTGCCATGTTTGACTACCAGAGGGTAAGTTGGTTATAGTCCCATTCTATAGATCTATACTATATATACATATATATATATATAGTTTGACTATATTTGGCTTGACATTGGCACAGAAAGGTTTTGACGCTAATCAGATGATTCGCCGGTCTGTGCAGCCAACGGAGCTCGCGGGGGAAGAGCGACATGTCCCTGGTTTCTGCTGGCAATCGGCCATTAATCATTAATCATCATCAATCCATGATATTCACGTGTAATGAAGTCCTCAAGTAAAGCCGGGGTGTCACTTTTTGGGGTTGGTCAGTTGGTCATTGTATATTCCGAACCAGGGCCTGTCCGATGTTTCAACGCAGTCCCTTGCACTCCCTTGCAGTCCCTTCCCCCACACCTTGGATCGCCAGGGCCGCCAGTACTCTATTGACACTGACACCATGCTATCTTGCAATTCCGTGACAGAAGCCGGGAGACTCAGTTGGCAGACTTGAGTACTGCTTGAGCACTGACTCTACCTTCCTTGAGCCCTTGAGCTGTCTTCTTCGGGTGGATTCAGAGCGCCAAGGTGATTGTCAGATATTGATAGATATTGTGAGTACGCACATATCCCATCAACAGATGGACTCGAATGACCATACCCCATTTACATGCAATCACATCCAGACCACATGTTCTTCATGCAAGATTCCGTTGCAATAGAACTACTCGACCACATGAAGTCATGTTTGAACTCAGCCGACGCTACTGTCCTGTGATCTATTGTGGATTGGAAAAGTTTGACAGTAACATGGATGGTCCCATCCACTGACGGCCTCCAGTTGATGGAAGTGAAGATGTAGGCGTCGCGAGGCGGGGAACCTTTTGGATTTTTACACCTGAGAATCACCCTTTGAAAATAGGGTTTGGGCAAAGCTTGAACAAATGGGGCACTTTCCATAGCTATGTTACTATGTTACAATACCAGAGGCCAGAGGGTAGATAAAATGTGATTACTCATTCAGTGAGAAGTGATTACATGATATTACATGTATATGCGTTGAGGCTCTCAGTATATATATATTATATGTATGCATTTGATTATATATATATATACATTTGATATACAATATAGAGATATATAGAGCTCATTTGCAGATTCACGCAGCAAGTTGGTGTATTTCCGGAGAGATTGTGACCACACGTTCCGCCAGGAAGCTAGTGATATTCGGACGTGGAGATGGCCCATGACCGGCAGAACGTCTGACATCGATATAGAATAGACTGAATAGACAATGTGTGTATATAGTATACATATAGTATACATGCATTTAGTATAATGCATGTATCATAGTGTATCATATTATCATAGTGTATCATAAAAGTTTATTGTGTATAGATACAGGTGTATGTATATATATATACATATATTCAATGTAGTCTATCATATAACATGTTCTATGACAACAGCTGCTACCTTTCAAAAAAACAACATTTCACCATGTGACATGGATACATGCTGTTCAGGATGATGATCGAATCAAGGACTTTCATTCATATGTTCGCAATTTGGTCCACGGTTGTGTTGTCATTTTCTTGTTACACGTTTTTTTTTGAATGTTCATGATTGTCCTTCTTATAGGTATTTTATGTGAGTGTTCCGTCTTTATTTTGCAAATAGTTCCTACATGTTTTGCAAGTAGCTGGGAGCGGCTTCTGGGCCATGTTTGTCACACAACAGACAAACAGGCTAACCCAGTTCCCAATATACATATATATATATATGTTGATACATGTATACTGGATCCATTTAAATGACTTGAATGTGGATCTATGAAATTTGAAAATATATCTATATGAATGTCTGCATACACAGATACGGTATATAAATGTACACATATGTACACATACACATTTACACAAATGTACATAGGCATACATGAATTCGAGCATTTCAAATCAGCATATGTTGTGTTAGCTTGGCCTTTTCATGTTTGATCTTTTTAGATCCCATGAGGGCACAGACGGTCTCGGTCATATGGCTTTAGGATGAACAATTTCTGATTCCACTTTCCGCTGCACGCTGAAATTAGCAGCAGCAACTGGAACTCGGCATGTTCATCACTCCGGTGGTGTCCCTGCGCTAGACAAGCAACCTTTTTGTGCACGTTTAATACACTGGCTGTTTTTGGAGAAACAACATGTTCTTGCGCGTTTTGCCCTACAAATTGTTTCACTTAGTTGCAGAAATTATAGAGGTGGCGGTCAGTTGCGGATGACATGCGTTGATGGACATCTCTGACGCAGACTAAGACGAACTCATACAAGCAATTGGCTTTGCAATTCACAGGCTTCTGATTTCAAAATATCCTTTGATTCAGTCCATTTCCACACTAATTGAGTGAAAATCAGAAAGCCATTGATCATTGAACAGCATGAAAAAAGCAAAGCAGATGACATATGAATATGATTCTCAAATTTCACAATTCTTTGAGTAATTATGCATCGAAACCACTTCACTACAACGGTCCAGAACAACAACGGAACTGTCCGTTATCGTGACGTATCACAGGAAAAGTCCAAGTCCTGGACCCCCAACGGCCGATGGGTCGCTCCAGGGTATCCTGGAACTCAGGGTGCCCAGGGTGCCGGAAAGGATCTGATTTGGGTGTGTCTGAATATATCCTTGTGGCAATTCATGTTAAACAGCCCCATGGTTACAGTAACGGATGTGAATGGTTCCAAACATGGGTAAATTTCCATCAATATCCATGGTTCTGGGGGTGGTTTAATATTAGGAAGATGGGATTACCGCCTATGGCAGTTTCACGGGATTTCAGGGGTAATTATCCGATTTTCATCGATTTTCCGACAAACCCAATTCTCAAAAGATATGTGTGGTTGACCGAGGTTAGGCATGTTTTTAGGATGTGTAGAAATTTGTGTGTGTGAGGAAGCAATCAGTTCCCTTTCCAGGCGGACGAAACAGAGCGTGGAGCGCTGAACGGCAGTCAGATTTGGCCAGCGATCTCCACAATCCTTTGGTCACAGCTCTGTTTTCCGTCAGGTCCCTTGATGTCAAAGCAAAAAACGATGGGAAGTACTTGGCTCGGGCTGAACTAGATTTGACCCATTTTGACTTCGACCACGATGCCCAAAGGTTAATGAACCGATAAGATATCCAATTCCAGCCAACCCTACTTATTGTCGGCTGACCAGATCTGCTATGTCTGCCACAGATAATGGGCTGTTTCAAAAACGGGCCTGCAGATCGCTGAACAGCTGGACACTGCACCTGGCCCTCCATTGATGTTAACTGATGTTAACGCAATGGGACCATTACTATTCCGTTTATGCACCCGTGCGCAAAAAGGTTGCAGTGGTGTGATCGATTTTGATCCTATGAATACTTGTATGTCTTTATAAATGCAGAATATTGAATGCTTATGATTGTCATTTTAGATTGATTCGCATATGATACAGGTGTTGTTCGCTCATTTGTTCTGAGCTGGCAATTCAGTCTAGTTGTGCCGACTTGCTTTTTGGCACACTCAAACACATGTTCAAAATGACAAGTTGTTTCGGTAGATATGGGTATCCCGCTTTTAAGTTTTGGATCATACCGAAGCTTTGATTCTTGAAAGAATGATCCTTTGCACTTTGCTGTTGTTGACGGACTGGCCACCCTGCTGCATGCAGAGTATTGCTAGATACGTGTTTCCCCAAGCAACTTAAAACTTGTTGCATGATCTTTCATGCAGGGGATGTAGACTTTAGTAGGCCAAACGTTGGCTGGCACTTTTTTACTTGTTTACTGAGTGTGAGGGTTCACAGGGGTCCAGAATGTACTGTGCCGAAAAAATGGGCATAAATGGATTCATCGTTGACACACATGCACCGGCGGTATGCACACAATTCCCACATCCATTTTCCATCGAAGTTGATCTGGATCAGGGCACTACGGCTGAGGCTTGTGGTAGGAATGCGTGGTATAAATGTTTTTCAAGCATGACCTTTAGCTAAGAAACCTGGCTGACAAATAGGCTCTGACCTTGGTTTCTTGATGGTTTCTTGATGCCCCCAACTTCCATTAACAATTCAACCATCCAACCCGTCCCTTTGTCACGGCTAGTATGGCGGCACTTCTTTCTACAGGGGATCGTCCCTATTTGACCCCCTATCCCCATTGCCCTGTGCCCAGCTTCAAAAAGGAGTACGGGAATACAGAAAGGAAATAAAATGAAATAATCATACAAAAAACATATGGACACGTACTTTGACAATTTTTTAATTTTGCCCAAGTGATTTACTTTCAGGACGATTACTGGCTACATTCTTGTCAAATAGATGTCTTACCGCAGTCCCCGACTGTGTGTATGCTGATACAGTCTTCATTGTCTCCTATCATCTGACTTCGAGATCCAAAAAAAACCAAGGAATTAAATCAACATAAATCAACTATGAGCAAAGATCAACTTCAACATGAGCTTCCCCCGTTAAAGGCGATTTCGCCCGCCCTTTCCAACCGCGCTTAAGCCACGTCGCCGCGAGGTTTGTTTCGAGCACCAGGACCCAAGCCATTAGAGGCGGATCTGCAGTACTTGAGAAACATCAGCAAGTCCTTGGTCGACGCCGGAGTGACCGTCAGAGCCTCAACATCCGAAACACGGTGAGAAACGAGAAATTTCCAGATTTCTGAACCTACGATGAAAGGCAAATATATATATATATATGACTTATATTTATGCATACGTACGATCATATATGGATCACTATGGATTATGTATGTACACATGTGAGTAATCATGTATACATCGTATATGTATATGAGCTCATACATATATATATAATATATATATATATATACATGGTAGCAGTCCGGTTGGCCTGTTTATCCACTGACTTCTGTTTTGGACCCTTTTTAGCCCTGGAACTATTTGTAATAGAGCCGGAACTATTTGTAGTGTATAGACAGAAAACGTATTATTGAAAAATGAATGGGGATCAGTCCCAGCTGCAAACGTGAAGACCAAATGGCACACTAGTAGAGCCACACCAGATATTCATCAGCGCAATATTATCAGCCAATAGACCCATAAACCCATAGACGCAACAATAATGCATTCATACATCTAATCTGTCAGAAGAAGAGGATGCACCATGGGAACATCGTTATTCACTTGTTTGTTTTAATAACATTTGAAAGTGAAAACCTACCAGGTTTAAGGTTTGGATCTGTTCATGCACGGGGTTTATCCTCAAAGATTTACCAAAGCAGTACAAGCCATTGGCTTTAACGTTTTTCAATTAAATGAGATTAAACCAGTGGATTCAAAAAGGTTCGCAAACACAGCGCTGCTTACGAAACATGTTTGGGCCTCAGATGAGTTTGAACAAGGCCTCTGAATATTAGGCGAGCCCAGGGCTGCACGCTGCATTGCGCAGTGAGTTGTCAGTTTTTCACAACCGTAAGAATTACAATATTCATCACATCATCAATATACAGCATATATCAAATTTAGTCACATTATGTCATCGCCTGTGGCAGCAGCTTGTTACAATCTCATTGACGAGGTTTAGCCACCGGGAAAATAGCCTAAAGCAAAAGAAACGTGTCAAGCCAAAGCGCAAGGTGAAAGTAGGGAAAAACGGGAACGCAATGATCTGACAGCGCGGCGCAAAAGTCAGCAATTCGGCTTTGCCCCCTAGCAACCGCAAAGGGGCGCAGACTTAAGGGACATGGAACAAGCACACACACAGACACACTAGACAAGAACTGGGTCATTGTAGTGATCCGTCGGGAACTGAATCCCAAAACTTGCAATTAGACAAGATTTATATATATATATTGACCAGAGTATATATATGTATGTA